TTATTAATCCAGTTTCTCTTGTTAACACGGCTTTTTTTCCCTATTATTCATGTCCAGCAGTTCAAGCCTCCTCTGCCCTGAAAGACAACTCGGGTAAAAAGTGCCTTTCAGCTCCAAGCAGGCAATAAGGTGTAAATATTGCCAATTTTCCTGCCTCTCACACAAGGCAATACTTGAACTCATTCACTCCCATTTATAGATAGGGAAACTGAGGCACACAGTGCAAATGTTTTTAAAAACAACCAAGCAAAACAACCCCAACCACTACAGGCTGCTCTTACTCCCTTCGTAGAAGCAACTGAAAGACTCTGCAGAGCAAAGGCCATTTTTGCACAGGGCATGTGCAATCTATATTTTCTTTAGGACCTGCCTTTTCTCTTAGTTATTGCCCGTTGCCTTCAATCTGTCTGTGGTGTTAGGTCTATTGGTTTTGATTGGGTTTTGGTTTGGTTTTTTTTGTTGTTGGTTTTTTTCCCCTGGCAGTGACGACTGTCTTGTAACAGAGCAAATGCTTAAAATCAGCCCAGGCTGCCCATTGACAGGCTAACAGATGCACTTGTAACTTAGCCACAGGGACATAGCAAGATTTCCATCAAAGGGTGGAAAGACTCATGTGGCTTGGACATAAAATTAAGCCTTCAAAGGACCCACCACTCCTTCAGCAACCTGTGTCAGTCTTACCACCACCCATGCCCTTGGTGGATTTTTCAGCATTTACATCACTGCTCCGGAAAGTTAACAGCACTCTTCTCACAGCTTTATGCAGAAGTAGTACCAGCTGTAGTCAGCGAAAAGTAGAGTACTGCAAACACAGGTCTTGGCAGCGAAGTGAAGAGAGAACAGACCATCAACAGAAAAATTTGGTATTGCATTTATTTGTAACTCCTTAAGCTCCCCAGCAGTTTGTTCTACAGATGACTAAGAATTAGGGGTTTTGCTGATATGAGGTATGGGGACAGCACTGTTTTTGCATAAAGAGATGAGGAAAATCAATTGCAGTTCCCCAGGGGCAGATATATTGGTTGAGAAGGTCACCAAATACTTGTAGTTGCTCAACGGACTTGGAACCAGACCCCCTCTGCATTGCATCACTGCTCAGCTCTGCCCTGAGAAGGAAAAGAAACCCCTGCACTGGGGAAAGGCTCTTTATGCTCTCCAAAACGGTCCTACCAAGGTCAGAAGAAAGAAGAGAGGGAGGCATTCAGCACACCCAAAGAGCCATATTCTGTTTGTATCGTTCACAGCCACATACCAAGGATTACTCTGGGCCATGTTGTTGAATACAAGTGTGCTTGTAGCTCTTGCTCTGGAGAAATAGGTCGAAAACTGTTCAGGCTTTACAGAAGATATTACTGTTGCAATGCTGTCAAGGTCACTGTCAGCCTGGGTTATCTGCTGTGTAAGTGCTAGCCACACAAATCAGGCTTAGCTAAGGGCTATAATTCATACACTCAGCATTTTGTGGATTATGTCCTTTAGCTTTCCTTCATTGCCATGTTGGATATTCATCTAGCTCTGGTGTATGACTGTTGCAATTTCTCTTTGGGGTAATATTCCCATGTGGAGCAGTGTTTCTCTGTATGTTCCATAATCACAGGCATACAAACTCGCCCTGTATGAGTAATTTTATGTATAATGCTTATTGTTATCTTTGAATGCAGATGGTTCACCTTTGGATGAAACAATAGAAAAATGCAGGTTACAGAGGCAAAAAAAAAAAGTCAATGTAAATGTTACAAAACCCACAAGAAATATTAACAAGGAGGTTCCTGTGGTTAAGGCACCCAGAGAAGAGTCAGGAAACCTCGGAGCTCTTCCTGATTCTGATCCAGACTTCTTCATAAGTTTTCTGATTTCCAGGTGTCTTAGCTTTTATTTATGAAGCCAAGATTATGGTATTTCCCACCTCATGGATTTATTGAGATTAACTGAGTTCCTTTTTCTAAAAAGTATTGTAAGAAAGTATTACAAAGAACAGTTCTAGCATACACGTATACTTTTATATTACCTTACAAAACTAAAGGCATCAATAATGAAAAGAGTGGTGGAAAATAAAACAGTTTTCTTTCTGTCCAACAAAGCAATTAAGCTGTATAATCAAAACAGTCTCTCAATTGTGTAATCCACCACACGTTCCCTTTAATAATGAAGTGTTAAGAGTATAAAGAATGCGTGCCTGTGCTCATCCCCTGAATGAGGAGCTAGCTGGGGCAGTAATTTTGAAATAGGCTATTTAAATCCACAGCTCCATATTGCAAGGAAAGAACTGTCTCTTCTGAGATACTGTGCTGAAAAACGTGTGTACCTCATTCTGTAAAACTTTTAGCCAAGATGTGATTTCTTATTTTTTTTTTCCTGTTACTGCTGAAGTTGCTGTAGTATATTAGCCTATGTACTTCAGTTGTCTGGTTCTCATTCATAATATTTCCAGGTAATGTTAGTTTTTGTCCTACAGTGCCATAATGGCTTCTTTACACCCCAGATGTGCAGGCATCTTTGTTGCTGTAGAATGTTGCCTATTTCTCTCCAGCTCTGAGATTCAGTCAAGCATCTCGGCATAAGGCTTTCTCACTGCTCACTCTTTCTAAACTCTTTTAACGCATTTAAGTGGCCTTGAACATGATCACTTCTACTGCACAGCTGGGCCTACAGCAAATCCCCAGAATCAACAAGAATTGAACTTCTGAGCCCGAAATTTGTCTCCCAGTGTTGGTGCCTCAGGCCCATTCTTCGGTATTGCAGAAAGATTGGCTTGGGGAACAAATAATGGGCATAGTTCTTTACACAATGTTCTGTCCTATCTGATCTGATCTTATATATACATCTGAAAAAATAGCTTTTAAAGTGTTTCAGCCTTTGCCACTGGTCTATTTTCTACCCTTTTCAACTGAATTTTCCCTTCCTTCCTCTTGTTAGCTCTCCTAAAATTGTTAATAATAATTTAAAAATAAACAAAAAAACTATAACTGTCAGGTACTAAGCCTTTCTAACCAAATGACAAAATCTGATGTACCTTAGGTCAGTTATTACACGTTCACATGTACTTTGTATTATTGCCACCTAAATGTACAGGTCATCTGTGGTGGTGCTCCACATTTAAAAGTGACCATGGATAGACTGAAACACTCTTGTATTTTCCTTAATAACTTACCTGTCAGGAGGGAACTGGTGTTTTAGAATGTACTTTGGACAGAAACTGTAATTTTGAGGAAAATTTAAATTATCTGAGTTCCTTAGAAATGTATAAAAGTATCCATTGCTTAATCAATTATACACATATGCATGCTGTCTCCCACAGAAGAGGCTGGATCAGGCATCTACATTATTTGATGTAATTACGTTGGTTGTAAAATAAAATGCAATTGATATGGAGTATTTCTGTGTATGTGTCACACACAAACAAATGGATATTACCTCTGAATTTTTATTTCAAGTATGTTACACACATTTATATGTAAAAATTGATTATAAAAAAGCAAATGTGGCATTAATTTACCATGCTGTAAGTAAATTACATATCCTTTGTAATCATTTTTCTGATCAGGAGCCCCTTGGCTCTCCACCAATGGAGACACCTACCCTGCTCACAGAGGCTCTACTGAGTGATACACAGTTCTTTCCTTCCATCAGCTACAAAATTAGTCAAAGGATTACAGAAAGGGACTCCTTGTCACAGCCTGGAATTCCAAACTGCATCAAAAATCTTAATATTTTAGTTTAACTCTTGAAGATTTTTCTTTAAGATTGTGTTTATAAGTGCTTGCAAATACTCATGTTTTGGCTCAAATTCTCATATTGTGGCATAAACATCCACAGCTACTTGAGATTCCTCTTGCATCACCTTCTGCACCAGCAGCCTGGTAAGGGAGATCCCTTGATTCCAGAATCTCTCTTGCTTTCTTTAGTCCAAGAGGACAAGTCTTCCCTCTCTCATATTGTGTGCCTGAGTTCAGCTTTTCTCAAGTCCTTGTTTCACATAACCACATGCTGTCAGCTCCAAAAGTAGGTGCTCATATGCCCCATCTTCTAGTCCTTTCTCTTGGCTGACTCAGTACATCCCAAAGGTACAGACAGTTGATTTCTTCTCACGTCATTGCAACATGTCATTGCAACTGGTGTCACATACATATGACTTTGTGTTTTATAAACCACAAAATAGGTCATCTTTACATGTCCTTAATAATACAGACTGCTTCATTCTTGGTTTTGTTGCTTTAAAGTTAACATCTTTGTTGAAGCTTCCTATAGATTGACCTATCTAGAGATGCCTCCGCGAAGTAGCTGATGGACCCATTATGCAAATATGTCCTTACTTTTCTTGCAGGAATATAAAGTTCCTCTCAGTCCAGAAAGATTTCCAGAATATTTTCTAGTTTCTTACATTTCAGCCTGTTTGTCACTCTTGAGATTTAAAAACAAATGTTGATTTGATCCAGCCAAGACAAGACCATGAAGTTACCTCTTCAGCTTACTTGAACATCCCATGACAAGTTACATCCCATTTGCAGTAAAGCAACTCATCCTGAAGCAGGCTCAGAGCAGAGACAGCCCCGCACATTTAGCTTCTCATTCTGCAGCACCTGTTGCGTTTGCTTTTGAAAGATGAGAGCTATTAGTTCAGCAAAGAGCTCAATGTTCTGGCTTTGCACTGCCACGGTCTCTTACAATCTTGTCTTCATATCACGGGAGTGTTCTTGCTCAGAACAAGAGGGCTGCATGACAGAGTGAAGTAAAGTTGATAACAACTTCATTACAGCATCATAACACTGTCGTGTAGCTGTAATGGTATTTCTTAGCCACCTAACTCCCAAAGGTTACTGTAGTGCATAACAACGCTTTTCTAAAAGCTTGTCCAGCACAAGCAGATCACTGACAGGTTGCCTATGCTTTCAGGCTTTTCTGAAGAGGTCATATATTATCATTTATTTCCTCTTTGTACCACTTGGCCATCCCACTCATGTTGTGTTTACTGATGAGCCCACAGTGCTGTCATCATCCACTTAGACGGAACTTGAAGTAAGCCCATTTTTGCAAGAGCTATTGCTGTTTAAATCCTGGAAAGTTGTCATTTCATGTGCATTGATGAGGGTGAGCATGTGTTTCGTATCTGGTCTGGTTTTTTGATAATTGGGAGACATACTTTCTTTTCTTAGACATTTCTAAAACAGAAAACAGAAAGGCAAGCTTAAAACTGAGGGTTCCTATGAAAAACAATTGGTTTTTTCAGTGTGAAAGTGTTGCTTTTCTCCTTGCTAACCATACTTTACAACTCTTCCATTTGTTTGTCACCAGAAGCACCCAATACAAAGAAAAGCTGCAGCTGCTTACTCAATCAAGGAGCTTCATAGGACAAAAGCCTTGGTCACAATAGGAAATTTATCTTTAATTCAAGTTTTCATATGAACAGGCCTTGCATCAAGCACTTGCAAGTGTTTCCACCCACCTTCAATACGGGTCAGTGCCCAAAATAATTTCATCAAGTTGTCAAAGTAAAGCCCCAGTTCTGACACCAGCCTTAAATTTAGTATCGCTGTTGAGCTTGGTGGAGATTAGGCACAATCTCCAATAGAGGAGAGGACAACACAACCCATAAGAACTTAACAGGTATTTTAAATAATGAAGCTCACTTTTGAGAACAGGGCAATACTAAACTTTGATGAAAGCTAGGCTGATACCTGAGACAGGACCTCACCCAAGAGTAAGATACAAGTAATTCAACCAGAGTTATTATCTTCACGACACAGCTCTGCTTTTTTTTAACTGCACCACTAAAACTGGGACATTTTTACGTATGGGTAGGAGAGGTTTCTGTAGGAATCTGAAGTGCTTTCAGGACACTGAACAGAACAGGGGCAATCTGTCTCTTCTGAGTGATATCCTTGCTTTCATACTTTCATCCTAACAAATTCCTACAAGATTTATCTTGTCAAACTTTAGTCTGAACGGCACAAATTACTGGCAGGATTGTCAATCTAACAAAGAGACAGGCATAAATTTAATTGCTCCCTGAAGATACATGAAAAGCTACATTTAGCTGCAGCTAATTAGATACTCTCCAATCAACAGTTATGATTCATCTGCTGGGCAGCAAAACAAGATGACAAATATGAAATAGGCAGCAAAAGTCAAATCTGACCTCTCAAAATGCTGAGGTTGGTTTTGTCTTGTTTTTAATTAGAAATGCAGCCGGTGTTGCACTGTGCCCTAGGTTCATGTTGCCTCTAAGCCAGGAGATGCAGAGCTCTGCACAAGGGGTTGACCTTACCGCTACTGCAGATCAAGCATAAGTTTCCTTCTGTGAAGTAAGCTTTGCAAATAGCTCTTCTCCCCACCTGTTCCAGGACTACCAGTCAGGATTAAGTTTATGGATAAAGCCCCAAGGAGGTTCTTTTCCAAGGATTTTAGAATGTCTTTCTTTAAGAAGAAAGACTGAGCTTCACAAAAATGACCATTTGAAATGGGGTTGTCACCAAATGACAGGTATGGAAATAGAGGAAAAAAATAGGCGGATTTGAACTTGTCCATGACACCACCACACAGAGCGATGCCATAGGTGGGGATCCCAGAGGCCTGCACCTCCATCTTGGGCAAATGCTGTTCCCAAACACCAAACCAAAGGAGCTGTATTGATGTACCCTTAAAATGAAGAGGAGCTTGCACACAGAGTAACTGGAAGTAGAAATGGGCAGCAGGATACATGAAAATAACTGTCTGGTTTGAGTTAGATCAGGGTGCAGGGAAATGTTTTCTCTCTTTGGAGCTTCCTCCTATGCTCCTCACTCACCTGAGTTTCCTTCTGGCTTTGAAAATACTGCGAGAGTATTTAAAGAATTTGATCACAAATTAAATAGGAACACTAGCTTCTGACTGGGTTTGTTAAGGTGGTGCTAGCAGAGAAAATGAGTGGGTTTTTTTCGTTGGTTTTGGTTTGTCAGTTTGTTTAGGACAAAAGGAATTACTTACACAGGTAAAAAAGATGAGCAGCAAGTAAAAAATCCCAAGGCAAGTCAGCATGAAAAGCTCAGCTTTGTATTTTTTTAATTTTTCATCTTCTATTCCAGGACAACCTGAAATGTAAAGTAAGGTGTTACACTCTCCTCATGTTTGTAAAATATATTTAAATTGTTGCCTTCATGCAACACCACATGGAGCACAAGACAGTAAAGAGTCTCTACTGTACCTGTTACTTTTAATGTGACTATGCTGCTCAGATTGCGATCTCCACTCTGCTCCCCCAAAGCACACTTATATGTCCCACTGTTTTGGCTGGTTGCATTTTTGATCCTCAGTGAAAAGAAGGTGTCATTGGAGAGCTCCAGGGACCCCTCAAGTTCTTTTGGATAATGCGATTCCACATCAAGGACTTTCCATGCAATTCCTTTGCCATCTCCAGCCATCTGGAAAACACATATTTCTTGTTTTGTGCAACAGTGTCATCCTGAGTTTTAGGGGAGAGATAGTTTTAAAGCTGGCTTACAGCTGAAAATGCAGAGGCTGAAGAGAGGTGGGGGGAACCTTAAAAGGGTCTAATATGTTCATGCTCACCATCAAAATGTATTTGCTTTTTTTATTAAATAGATACTAGAGAGCTATTCTGTAATAGCTTCTTAATCTGCTTCTTAATCTACCTGGACACAATCCTGGTAGAGATATGACATGATAAAAGGTAGCAGTAGAGTTTGCCCTCAAAGTGACTACACAGAGTCCCCAAAAGATTTCAGAGAGAGACAGACCACAGGGACAGAGCTGAGGCAGCAGGAGGCAGCCCTACCCAGCTGCTTAGCGGTGGCTCCGGGGACGAGAGGTCCCCAGGAGAGCATGGCAGCAGGCAGGTAAGCTCCACCACGCTTTCCGCCATGCACTGATGGGAATTAAACCTGCCCACCCAGCAGGCATACCACACTGTGCCAGCTCTGCTAGCACGGGCTGGCATCCTCCCAGAGACCTCGCAGCCGTTGTGGGCACACAGCCCTGGAAACTGCACTGCCCTGTGCCAGCTTCTGTGCCACTGACCCCAGAAACCATCTCCTCTCTGGAGAAATGGGGTTTTTTCCCCCTCTCCTCCCCTTCGCTCTTTGTTGGAACCAGAGAACAAAAATTGCTTCGATTCCTCCAGATTCAGTTGCGTGAAGGTCACAAGCAGGTTCTGGTGCACTTGGGGAGCACTTGTGTGTTGAATTTCTTAATTGTAACCAGAAGACCTACATTCTTTGGCATTGCTGAGAGGCTGCTGGAGGAATGAAGTGTATTCCCAGAACAGTTTGTACTGTGAGGTGATAGGATGCAGTGAAAATGACAATTGGCTGGGAACCACGAAGAAGAGAGAAATCACTAACTTGATTTGAAAGATGGGAGAAGGGTTTGAATTAGCCCATGTCCATTCTTATTCATCAACACTGCTCTCTGGGATTCAAGGCAGCGTGCTCTCCATGAAGGTTTCCCAAGTAATGAATTCAGTCTTTCTGTGGACCAGCAGAGCCAGAGCCAGCTCATAGAGTCCAAGGTTCAGCTTTTCAGCCAAACCTATAACTAATGTAAGCCAAGCCTTTTTTATTATTATTATTTTAATAGGCACATTTTTGGGTTCCATGTCAGTGTTTACTTTATCAGTATAGCTACTGCACCAGGGTATAACAGTTACACTGCAAGTTATTAAAATTAACACAATTTTCTCATACTGAGGCTGGAAGTATCTTGTTTCTTTTTCATGTATTTGCATGAGCAAAGCATACTCAGGAGTCTAGGGAGGAATATGGGCCTGATGCTCCATCATACTTTGCTACTTTTGTAGCCCTAAAATGGTGTAAAAAAGCTGCAAGTTGGGGAACTTTTCAGGAACTGGGGAATTAGACTGAAGCACAAGATTTTCATCATGGTAAAGACCCTTTCTCAGAAAGGTTGGGATTTTTTAGTGCATCAACTGAAACATACAGCAGTAATTCCCTGGGGCTTTCCATACTTTACCCAGGGAGGGAAAAAAGTACCTTCTTCCTCTTAATCCCCCAGTAAATTTTACTTAGCTTCTCTTTCTTATTACATTCAACCCCAAGCAGCTGTGAGACAAGCAGTATCTATGGTGGCTTTCAGGCTGTAGGAACTTTGCTGTGCTACAGGGATTTAGACATTTTCAGACCCTGCAAGTTGTCAGAGATGTGGCCAGAGGAATTCCAGCACCCAGGCTGGGCTCAGCTCTGGTTACAAGTAGGTCAACAGCAGTTAAGTGGATAAAGTCGACCTCCCTCAGATCTAATTTTTGCCACTCTCCCTTCCCTTACCACCCCCTTCCTCAGTGAAATTTAAAACTGCCTACAGGGCAATAAAGAAAGCTGGCCTGGCTGCCCTTCGCATTGCCCTAAAAGGCAGACAGTAGATCTGAGCTGCACACAGAAAATTAGTTTGGGTTTTTTGGTTGTTTTTCTTTCAATTCACTGGTAACATAAATAATTGCTGTCTTGGGTAGTAAATGGTGCTGTAACTCTTGTGGCTGTGATCTGGGAATCAGAAAACACTTTGATCTTTCTGTATGCAATTGTAATCACCACTGCTAGTATAAGGGAAAAGTAATGAAGTCCACACATCCTACGCCTGACCATGCGCTTATCCCCTGTGAGAAATTTAGTAAATTATTTAACTTCCCTATCTTACAGAGACAGGACTGATGATTGCTTCCAAAGCGTTTTGAATGCTCAGTGTAAGCACAGTCGCTGTCACAAGTACAGTGACGGTGACCCTGGAGACAAGAAAGTCAGAACTTTGCCTTACACAGACCCGCTCTGTGTAAGGCAAAATGCTGTCCCCGAAGCTGCACTAACAACATGCCATTCCCCAAAATAGAAGAAAAAGGTACTTTGTGGCCTATTCAGGCTACTTCACTTGTGGAGAAACTATCTGCCATCTAGATGGGGGTCACGAACCTTTGCATTTGGGGAGGAGGAGGAAGAGTTCATATGTGTGGGTTTGATTGAGGGTTTGCATGCCTCTCTTTTGCCATTAAATCTCCCCTTTACTGAAAAGCAAAGGCAGTTCGTGGTGGTGCTGGTATGCCCAGCAGCCTCCCTACATTTTTTAGGGTACAGAGACATCTGGTGGCATGTTCCCAGCCTCTACATGCAGCGCATCCACCCCTCCACAGAAGTCACAGCAACCCTTTCTCTGATGCCTGAACCAAGCCTTTTTCCACTGCAATCTTATCTCCTATTATCTTACCAAAAAGAAAAAAAAATCATCCCTTCCCTTTTAAAATTCTCTAAGTAGCAAGAAAATATCTGAACAAATTTGCAGAGTGTCCCCATATCCCAGCTGTGTGAAAGGAAGTCCATGAGATGTTCAGTAAGGTCATCATTCTGCCTCTTGCTCTATTCAAGCTAACCTCTTTTCCCCCCAAACCTAATTAAAATTATGAAAATGCCACTTTGTTTGCCACCTCCTGTGAATTACTTGGCAGACTCTCACTAGACAGATCATTTCACAGCTCAAGCTCCTGTGATAATCCAGCGCTAATTCATGCCAAGTGTCCTCCAGGTGATACCACAGCCCAAGGTAAATGCTAGGGGGTTTACCTAATTAATTCCACACAAGCTTAGGAGGATCGAAGCGAATGCTGTTGGTGGCAGCAATCCACTTGTGTAGGGACCATCCTTTTCTTTAATCAGCAACAAAATATTTTCCACTTATGGTTCGTTTGTATTTCATTTCCTCTCCACAGTGTGGGCCACCTCCCCCTGCTATCCACTGCCAATGAGAGGAGGAAAGGGAGGTGGTCTTTTCCTGTTCTCATATTTGATGTTAATGGCTTTACCAAAATTCAAAAGGCAAATCATGACTCTTGCAGGGACACTACTGAATCTATTTGCATAAAAAGAGATTCATTTCCATGTTGGCTGCTGGGGGGTTACTGAAGCAAGAATTTTGCTGGGAAATGAGGACCTGCCGGCTGGCAGCATCATTCCCGCTGTCTGCATAAAACTACCCATTAAGAAAATTATAAAACAAAAGAGATGTGAGTTTATGTTTATTGTCACATATACATTGGCCAGTGGCAACGTCTGTGACGGGCTTTTTCAGAAATCAGCTGGGGGACTAAATCTGTTGTTTTCCATCACCTCCATAGCAATGAGAGGAAATGCTGCCCCCAGGGAATGATACCGTCTAACACCTTCATTAACAACCTGGACACTGGGACAGAGAACGTGCTCCAAAAGTCTCCAGATGACACAAAGCTAGGAGGAGTGGCTGATACACCAGAAGATCGTGTTGTCATCCAGAGGGACCTCGACAGGCTGAGGATACGGTCTGAGAGGAAGTCCAGCCAGTGGAAATGCGAAGTTCTGCTTCTGGGGAGGAATAACCCCAGGCACCAGAACAGGCTGGGGCAGACTTGCTGGAAAGACCTGGACATGTGGATATCAAGCTGACCGTGAGTCAGTGATGAGCCCTTGTGGCAAAGAAGGGCAACAGCTTCTGGGGATGCACTAGGCAGAACATCTCCAGCAGGTCAAAGGAGATGATCCTTTCACTCTGCTCAGCCCTGCTCGGACACATCTGGAGTGCTGGGTCCAGTGCTGGGCTCCCCAGTACAAAAGAGACATGGACATACTGGAGAGAGTCCAGCGAAGGGACACAATGATGATCAAAGATTTGGAGCATCTGACTTATTAGAAGAGGCTGAGAGAGCTGGGAGTGTTCAGCCTGGAGAAGACCAGGCTCAGGGGCATTTGATCAGTATGTACCTGTTGGCCAGGGAGATAAGGAAGCTGAAGCCAGACTCTTTTCAATGGCCTCAAGAGACTAGATGAGAGACAATGGGCACAAACTGAAATTTAAGAAATTCCATTTAAACATAGGAAAAACCTTTTACTTTGGGGGTGGGGGTGGTTGAGCACTGGAATGGGCTTCCAAGAAAGGGTGAGAAGTCTCCATGCTTGGAGATATTCAAAACCCAACTGGACACAGCCCTGAGCAACCAGCTCGAGTTGCCTTATTTTAGTGAGATTAACTGAAAGTTATTCTAGTTCCCAAAAGCTTGGAAAGACTTGGTCTAAAGAGGCTGTGATTTTTGCCATGTGTATTCTCTAGTCAATTGACTGATTCCTGCTAAGTTTCTCCTTGCCCAGAGCTTTTTGGTAAGAGTAGCAGTGGTGATACAGTGGATATCAAAACGAGATAGGTCACTGACCTGATAGATTTCTGTTCTTTGACTGGATGAATTATGAGATATAGGTAGAATAATTAAGTCCCCAAAATTTAAGTGCTTTTCAGAAATTTTAATTTTTTTTTTCAGAAAACTAAAAACAGGGTGGAAGAAGGAGGAGGAACAGTTTTCTCAGTCCCAGCTGGCTGGGTTTTAGCTGCAGTTTTGAAAACTGCTATAGCATTACACGGTAGTGCCACTAAGCAA